CGTGAACTCTAGATAGGCACAAGACTCGAAAAAAAAAATCAATTTGAAGATCACTCGGCAAAAAAAATCAATTTGAAGATTCGAAAAAAAATTAATTTGAAGAGTGAAAAAAAAAAACAATTTGAAGACAAAATTAGGGTTCTTAGTCACAGTGAAGAAAGGGGGCAAATTGGAAGAGGAAAGAAGAAGACTGAGAGAGACTGGAAGCTGACTTAAATTGAGGCCGGTGACGAAGAGCGGGCTGAGCCTGAGGGAGAGCGACGAGAGAGATAGAAAGACGTTGAGATGCAGATGCCTGATGCGTGAGATTGACAAAAATGAAGGTCAGACAAAATATAACAAATAAAATTTTTAGTTTTCTTAAATTGTTTTTTTAATTAGTAACTATCATTGTTTTATTATTTATAAACGACCATAGGCCCCAAATCCAAAGGCCCAAATGTCAAAAACAAAAGCTTACCTACAGCCCAACTGTTACCTGTACAAATAAATTGCATTTTAACATGTTCGGTGCGGTTCGGTTAAAACCGCACCCTTCGAACACAAAACCGAACCGCACCGAATTTTTTGCGGTTTTCCTAAATTCTAACCGCACCGAAAATCGAACCGAACCGCGCCGAATACATCGGTTCGGTTTGGTTTTCGGTTCGACTCGGTTTTGCTCACCCCTACGCGTGATGAAGATTGCGTATCTCGCTACTTTGGTTTACTTCGAACCCACGACAACCGCCTTGATTCTCCACGATAAGTTGCTAATACCCGCGCCGACACCTTGGTACTTTGTGATAGATGTATCGAAGGGTGTGCTAAGGGCCTTCCTTTCACGATTTGTATGATAAAACTCATGGGAATTCAAACACACAAGAGGTTTTGCCTAAATTGGATGATTTTCTTTATTTATTCAATCATGAAAAATAATGATGAATACATAGATAGGAGATAATCACTAAGCCTATGGGAAATAAAAGACTAAACCTAATAGAAATCAAATACTAGTCCTAAGGAAATACATAATTATGAACGTGCTAATTAATTAGGCACATGCTTATTAACATAAACTAGAAAACTATAACCTAGGAATTAGAATGTTAGTAGGACTCCAAGATCAGCCCAAGTCTTCTAGAAGGATTGCTCTCCAAGCTGCTCTCGGCCAATTATTTGTTCCCAGTGAACCTCCAGGGTCTATCCCATACGTACCGGTCTGTGTGTTGTCCCTCGTAAGTCGTCCCGTCATCGCGTGGTCGCCCGAAACTCTCAACCCGCAGCGCGATGGACGCGCTGCCCCATCCACACGACTCGTGCTTTTGCTACGCATCTGCCGGTCGCATCTGCTCGTCATCTATCTGCTCGGCTACGGGTCTGCTGCCTCTTGCTGTCTTGCGTAGCCCTGATGGGTCGCGCGCGGTTTGCGTGTACGCTGCTTTGCGCGGCTCTGACGGGTCTCTCCGCCCATCCCACGTCCCTTAGCTTGGCGATTGGCTGCCATGTGCGACGACCTAGGCTGGTCGAAAAGTCAATCTTCATCATTCCCGCCCTCTTCTAGAACTTCCTTGTGTAATAATTGAGTGTTAATTAATTAAATATTCCAATCACTCCCCACTTCCTCATGTTAATTATTAATTCAAGGTGGCAAATTGTGATTTAATTATTAAATCAAGTTGGCAACTTATACTGAAGTCGCGTGAAGAGCCTGACACAAACTCTCACCACCATTTCCTCACCATTTCCTCTTGTTAATTTATTAAAACAAGTTGGACAATTTGCAGCTGGAAACGCGTGGAGTCTGCTCAGAAACCCATCTATAAATATGGGTCTTCTCAACTCAGCAGATGTGTACCGTACAGAAGAAAAGAATAGAGAGGAAGAAAGGGAGACAGAAAAGAAAGAGAGATTGAAAAATATTCAGCCCAAAATAATTTTTTGGAGGGATAAAAATATCAGAGAGAAAAAAATAGAAATATTTATTTGTTATCAAAATAACAAAAGATAGATATTTTTATTCCTATTTTTAAGTGCTCTAGGCGGTCCTTGGACTGTCCTCTCAGTTTATTCAGTTGTTGGCTGTCTGTATTCAGCTGTTGGCTGTGTGTATTCAGCTGTGGCTGCTCTTTTGCACATTTGTGCCATTTTATATAAAATCTCTATCGTTTTGGCAAAAAAAAATAAAAAAAAGTGCTCAATTCTCGACTCCGTTCCAGTTCGCCGGAGCTCGTAAATCTGATGTGCTACAGATTTAGAGACGTTTGCCGTTGTATCTTTAGGGAAGTTACGCCTGAACCGTTAGCAACACACGAGGCGTATTCTTCTTGGGGAAAGAGTTTTACTCGCCTCGACTTTAATCTTTCCGTTTTTTTAAGTTTTAATTTATTTTTTTCATTTGTAATTTGATTTTCAGTTCAATTGTAATTTTATATTTTTAGATTATTTGTAAGAACTGAAAATACATATCAGTTCGTAGGATTCCCGTGTATTTTTACACCCGTTTTATAACAATCGCAAGAAGAATACCTCAACCTACTAGACTGATGGCTTCCACCGGAAATGGTACCAACACTCAACATCCGATCAATCATGTACCTGATGTCCATGTCCCTACTGCTGAGAAGCCCAAAAAATTCAATGGGCTTGATTTTAAAAGGTGGCAACAAAAGATGCATTTTTACCAGACCACTTTGGGTTTGGTGAAATACCTGAAGGATGACCCCCCGGTTATTGCTGAAAATAAGACCAATGTTGAACTACGCACTGCGTACGAAGCTTGGGGGCAAGGTGATTACCTTTGCCGTAACTATGTCCTAAACGAACTTAGTAATGAGTTGTACAATGTGTACAACTCGGTTGGTTCTACCAAAGAGCTTTGGGCTGCATTGGAGAAGAAGTACAAGACCGAGGATGCCGGGGCGAAGAAATTTGTCGTCGACAAGTTTCTTGACTTCAAGATGGTCAACTCTAAGACCGTCGTGTCCCAAGTGCAAGAGTTCCAACTTATCTTGCACGATATCCATGCTGAAGGAATGTCTCTAAGCGAGTCATTCCAAGTTGCGGTTGTGATTGAAAAGCTGCCGCCGGGTTGGAAAGACTTCAAGAACTACCTCAAACATAAGAGGAAGGAGATGAGTCTTGAAGACCTGGTTGTTCGTCTTCGTATTAAGGAGGACAACCGTAATTCATCGGCGAAGACTCCGATGATAGTGGCTCGTGCTAACTTGCTGGAGCAAGGCCACTCGAGCAAGAGGAAGTCCCTTGCCAAAGGGAAGCAGTCTGCCAAGGTTTGGAAGTTTACTGAAACCTGTTACAACTGTGGAAAGCCAAACCATATGGCAAAAGACTACAAGAGGCCAAAGAAGGCTGGGCCAAAGAAAGGGCAACCTAGTGCCTTTGTGGCTGAACACGGCCTTATGCCGGGTGAACTGACCGACTTTGATATGTCGGCAGTGGTGTTTGAAGCCAATATGGTGGATAACCCAAGGGAGTGGTACATCGATACTGGTGCCACTCGTCATGTGTGTTCCGATAAGGAGGTGTTCTCTGAATACACTCCTGCTAAGAGTCGGAAACTTTACATGGCAAACTCAGCCACGACTGATGTGGCTGGAGTGGGCACTGTGGTGCTGAAGCTGACTTCTGGAAAGGAGCTGAAACTTAAGGATGTTCTGCATGTCCCAGACATTTCCAAGAATTTGTTCTCCAGATTTCTTCTTGTTGAGCATGGATTTAGGCTGATATTGGATGCTAAGAAATTTGTTCTTAGCAAGTTTGGAACTTTCCTTGGTCGTGGCTATCTCGACAAGGGTATATTCAAAATGAATGTAATGACCGTGAGCCGTGTAACCGTTTTAAATGATAATGAAAAGCCTATTTCTGTTTATACCGTTGAGTACTCTGATTTGTGGCATATTAGATTGGGACATGTAAATCTAAATGCAATTGAACGGTTGATGAATTTAAAATTAATTCCTAATTGTAAAATTGAATCACATAAGAAATGTGAGATTTGTATTGAACAAAAATGGCTAAGTTGCCTTTTCACTCGGTGGAAAGGAGTACTGAACCATTAGCGCTTAATCCATACTGATGTATGTGATATGAAAAGTGTGCAAACAAGAACGGGTAAAAAGTGTTTTATTACTTTTATCGATGATTGCACAAGGTTTTGCTACTTATATTTATTAAGAAGCAAAGACGAGGCTGTGGAAGCATTTAAACTCTATAAGACCAAAGTTGAAAATCAACTCGGCAAAAGGATTAAAATAATCCGAAGTGATAGGGGTGGGGAGTATGTATCTCTTTTTGAACAAATATGTTCTGAATATGGTATAATTCATCAAACGACGGCCCCTTATTCTCCACAGTCAAACGGTGTTGCTGAACGCAAGAACCATACTTTAAAAGAAATGATGAATGCCATATTGATAAATTCAGGGTTGCCCAAAACATGTGGGGGGAAGCTGTTTTAACAGCAAATCACATCCTGAATAAAATACCACCTAAAGGGAAAGATGAGACTCCTTATGAAATGTGGAAAAATCATAAGTCGTCTTATAAATACCTGAAAGTGTGGGGGTGTTTGGCTAAGGTTTCAGTACCTGAACCAAAACAAATGAGAATCAGGCCAAAGACGGTCGATTGTGTATTTATTGGATATGCGTACAATAGTACAACATATAGATTTCTGGTTCATAAATCAGAAAATCCAGAGGTATATGTTGGTAACACGATTGAGTCGATGAATGCTATATTCTTTGAGAATATTTTTCCTCTGAAGGAAAGAGCATAATCTAGTTCTAATAAACGAATGTATGAAACTGCTAGTGGTTCTGTACCAGAGGGTACTGATGAAGTACCGAGACGTAGTAAAAGGTTAAAAACGGCGAAAACGTTTGGACCTGATTTTATTACGTACATGTTGGACGATGAACCGAGTTCCCTTAAGGAAGCTCTGTCTAGCACAGATGGACCGCTCTGGGAAGAAGCTGTAAATAGCAAAATCGAGTCCATTATGCAGAACCATACTTGGGAGTTGGTTGATCTCCCTGATGGTTGTAAACCTTTAGGATGCAAGTGGATCCTAAGGAAGAAATATAAAGCTGATGGATCAATTGATAAGTTTAAAGAACAATTGGTGGTCAAAGGATTTAAACAAAAGGAAGGGTATGATTTCTTTGATACATATTCACCAGTTACGCGTTTAGCATCAATAAGAGTGCTTCTCTCGGTTGCTGCTTTGCACAATCTTAAGATTCACCAAATGGATGTCAAGACGGCATTTTTGAATGGTGAATTGGAAGAAAAAATATACATGGAACAACCTGAAGGATTTGTTGCACCTGAACAAGAAAGAAAGGTGTGTAGATTGATCAAATCCTTGTACGGACTGAAACAAGCTCCGAAACAGTGGCATTTGAAATTTGATGACGTGATGTTGTCAAATGGGTTCAAAATCAACGAATGTGACAAATGTGTTTATGTCAAGAGTACATCAAATGCATTTGTGATTGTATGTCTATATGTAGACGATATGTTGATCATGGGGAGTAGCCATGAAGTGATCATGGATACGAAAAAAATGTTGAAAAGAAATTTCGACATGAAAGATATGGGTTTGGCTGATGTTATTCTTGGAATAAGGATTATCATAACCCAAGATGGAATTGTCTTGTCACAATCTCATTATGTAGAGAAAGTGCTCAAGAAATTTGATGCCTATGATGGTGCACAGTCTAGGTGTAAGACGCCCCTTGATCTTAGTATAAATCTGGTAACCAATAAAGGTCAACTAGTGGCTCAGTTGGAATATACACGGATAATAGGGAGTCTCATGTACTTGACGAATTGTACACGACCAGACTTGGCCCACCCTGTGAATAAGTTGAGCAGATTTACGAGCAATCCCAGTCATGAGCACTGGAATGATTTGAGAAGGGTACTTAAGTACTTGAGGTATACCCTTGAATACGGGCTAAAATACTCGAGATATCCAGCTGTACTTGAAGGGTACTATGATGCAAGCTGGTTATCAGAATCGAGGGATTCTCACTCCACTAGCGGATATATTTTCTGTATTGGAGAAGGTGCAGTTTCGTGGAAATCCACAAAACAAACGTGTACAGCTCGGTCAACGATGGAATCGGAGTTCATAGCTTTAGATAAAGCTGGTGAAGAAGCCGAGTGGCTTAGAAATTTTTTATCCGATATTCCATGTTGGGATAAGACTTTGCCGCCTGTGATGATTCACTGTGATAGCCAAGCTACTATAGGTAGGGCGCAAAGCAACTTGTATAACGGTAAGTCTAGACATATTCGTTGTAGACATAATACCGTACGCCAATTGATCACAAATGGTGTTATTTCCATTGACTATGAAGTCTAAGGAAAATTTGGCTGA